ACACACACACAGACATAGACACACACACATACACAGACACAAACACAGACACACACAGACACACACACACAAACAGACACACACAGACACACACACAGACACACACAGACACAGACACACACACATACACAGACACACACACATACACACACGCGCACACAGACACAGACACACACACAGACATAGACACACACACATACACAGACACACACACAAACACAGACACACACAGACACACACACACAAACAGACACACACAGACACACACACAGACACAGACACACACAGACAGACACAAAGAGACACACACAGACACAGACACACAAACACACACACACAAACACACACATACACACACACAGACACACACAGACACACACAGACAGAGACACAGACACACACAGACACACACACAGACACAGATACACACACAGACACACACACAGACACACACACAGAGACACACACAGACACAGACACACACATACACACACACAGACAGACACACACACACACACACACACAGACATAGACACACACAGACACTCACACACAGGCACAGACACACACACACACACAGACACAGACACACACATACACACACACATACACACACGCGCACACAGACACAGACACACACACAGACATAGACACACACACAGACGCAGACACACACACAGACACAGACACACACAGACACACACACAGGCACAGACACACACAGACACACACAGAGACACACACACACAGACACAGTAACACAGACACACACACAATCACACACAGACACACACACACAGACACAGACACACACAGACACACACAGACACAGACACAGACACACACACAGAAACACACACACACAGACACACACAGACACAGACACAGACACAGATACACGCATAGACTCACGCGCACACAGACACAGACACACACAGACACACACACATACACACAGACACACACAGACACAGACACAGATACACACATAGACACACGCGCACACAGACACAGACAAACACAGACACTCACACCATGGAATTTCCTCATGTGAGATACTGTCTTCAACAGCTCACGAGCGTCAACAAATACATCTTCAATTCACAAATGAAAGATCTCAGTCTGAACCCTGTGGAACTCCTGTCCTAACAGACTTTAGAACGAAACTCTTACCATTCATAAAAAAACCTTGAGTGTGTTTTCGGAATAACTTCCGAACCATTTTATAGCAAGTTTCCTTGGATACCATAAGATTGTCGTCGTGCCAGACTACCGAACGTCTCACTAATATAACAGAACACTGCACTGATTTCAGCCCACCCTAAGTTTGACACTAAATGTTCTGTTAAACGTGTTGCAATGTCAGGTGGATTACTCACGCGAGATTGCTCTGCGAAAAGGTCGTTTGAAGCATGAGTTATTTCGTTGTTGTCATCGTCCAATTTGCCCTTGAATATAACTGTGCAAAATTGGAATTATCAGTCCGTGTTTGAATGTAGTCTTTAACCATCCCTTGGTATAACTCGAGTTTCTAATTATTGTATCGTCTATTTTCCACGGATTTTCCAACTGGAACTTGCAATAGATGAGACAGTAAGAACCGCCTCATCTGTTTCATATTTACAACAATGCATTAAGAGTGACGAAATATTTCCAAAAGACTGTATGACAAGAGGGGTGACTTAAACTTGCCAATAGTCAACTTTCCTTTTATGTCAAGAAATATTCCAGCAGCTCCAGCCTTAGTGTTTATATTTTACAAGTTTTAAGGTGCAATCGGGCATTCTCTTTCTATGAAGATTGCAACTTTTTAAGGTTACAACTTTTAAGGCCTCAATAGAGCTTCCTAACATTTTACAATGGACGAGTTACATTTCAAAATTTGACGAATCAGTGACGAAAATTATATTTTCTACTAGCGATTTCAAGCTGGCGATAACAATTTCTCATTTCTCACCAAAGGTGGACAACAAGGTCGAATTGTAGCCACTTTGTGTTGTATAAACTAATCGCATAGATTTATGATACATTTCGACAAATCTACCACAGTAGTATTAACATTATACCTAGAAAATAACTTATCAATTACAATTCTATTTATGGCCAAGTTTATTTCATCTTTATCTGCCTGTGAATTTTTTCGTTTATAATACTTAGGTTTTTACGGACATTCTTTTGGAATTACGGGCAGTGGTCTATAAGGATCTAATAGACCGGAGCCCTGCATGTCATTCATACATGTTACAAATCAATCAACGTACGGTAGTTAGAAGTGATGATGATTTGGTTCTTGGATAAATTATTGCAAACCAGCCCCTCAGATAATGTAACATCAATCTTTTCTTGGAAAATTGAGCAAGACCATAGACAAGTTGTAGATAATCCATAACATGTCTAAGTTAAAGTAGCCAGCATGTTATGGTCAACTCCCCTCCCTACTGTGCAATCAACTAATACCCGATATGCAACACTTTTATCAGCCGGGTATATGCGTCTGACCAGATCGCAACTGGATGTCTAATTTACGGATGTGTTTAAGACACCCCTGTCTTTCTAAAGAGGATCTAAAATCCGGGAATAGTAACTTTGACGTTTTGAATTCTTGCCTGTAGCCACATTCAGTAACATATATCATGATCTGTTCCTAACATTCCGTGTGTCTTCAAAACTGCGATTTCTGCAATGCAGGATCTTTATATCAAGATGTTCTAGTCAGAGGTTAAGGTGACATTGATTCACTCCAGTGTTGTTGTCAGTCAGCAGATAGATGTGATATGTGCATTGACTCACTCCAGTGTTGTTGACAGTCAGCAAATAGATGTGATATGTGCATTGACTCACTCCAGTGTTGTTGTCAGTCAGCAGATAGATGTGATATGTGCATTGACTCACTTCATCGTTGACAGTAAGTAGATACAGGTGACATGTACATTGACTCACTCCAGTGTTGTTGTCAGTCAGCAGATAGATGTGATATGTGCATTGACTCACTCCAGTGTTGTTGTCAGTCAGCAGATAGATGTGATATGTGCATTGACTCACTCCAGTGTTGTTGTCAGTCAGCAGATAGATGTGATATGTGCATTGACTTACTCCAGTGTTGTTGTCAGTCAGCAGATAGATGTGATATGTACATTGACTCACTCAAGTGTTGTTGTCAGTCAGCAGATAGATGTGATATGTGCATTGACTCACTTCATCGTTGACAGTAAGTAGATACAGGTGACATGTACATTGACTCACTCCAGTGTTGTTGTCAGTCAGCAGATAGATGTGATATGTGCATTGACTCACTCCATCGTTGACAATGAGCAGATAGAGGCGACATGTACATTGACTCACTCCAGTGGAATGACTTGACCAGGTTATGAATATGGGGTGTCCAAGTTAAGTGTAGGCCAAATGTAACTCCTAGTAATTTGATCCTTTTTGGAAAATGATTTCCTCGTTATGTAAGTTTAGTTTGGGTGTAGAATTTGTCGTGTTAAAATAGTAAGCCAATCTTTATGGGGTATTGATTTGAAATCCCCATTTGACAGACCAGTTTTGGATGATATTTAATGCAGATTGGGTTTTAGTTTGTGGTTGTTTAATGAAGTGGTGGAGTTCCAGAGAAAAATGTCAACTGCAAATTTTGCTGTTGATAAGTTTTCATTTTGGACGAAATTTGGAAAAATATCAACCATGATATTAAAAAGGGTCGGCGACAGCATGCTACCTTGCAGGGTGCCATTTTGTAATGGGTAGGTGTTAGATAGCTATAGGGTCTTATGCTTTTTAACAGTTTTCTTTCTGTCTGCTAGAAAAGAGTGGATGAAATGTAGAATACACCCATTGATGGAATTATTTTCCAGTTGTTGTATGATGCCTTTGTTCCAAACCATGTTGTAAGCCTTGCTGACATCTATAAATATGGCCAAAGTGTGTTGTTTTTATGCATGTGCTGTTGTGATATCTTGTTCTAAATCCGAAGTGGTTAACATCTGAGACCTGCTCCACTTCGGGCTTTCCTCCCACATTAAGCTGACACACCGGTATATAACTGGAATACTGTTAAAGGCGGCGTTAAACCCAACTCACTCACTCTTGCTCTAAATGTTAACTATGGTCTAGTGAGGTAGGTTTAAATGTGTTGTGTGGTTTGTTGTAGGTCTTTTGGTGATATGTATGATCTTTTATTATTTCTGTTGGTTTTAGATTGTGTGTTTGGGGTGTTTGTAGGTGATTATGCTTTGTGAGGGTTAATGTGTTAGGACGGTGAAATAATGTAGAAGGAGGACCTTGTTTGGGGTAGAACATAATGATGTGCATAGGAGGAGGAAAGACATGATTACCTATGGTGAAGAAGTTGAACCAAAACAAATACAGAAAACAAATAGGCTTGATGTAGAAAAGGCCGAGATGACTGGGTGCGTGCAGGAGAACGTCTGTAAAGGCGGCGGCACTGGCGAGGAGAGAGGTTATGGTTTATTTTATAGTTGAGTTTGTAGATTATGATGACGTGTACAGACGATGATGACGTTCACCGGAGAGGAGGTGAAATGCGTTCGAGGATCATGGATATCGAATGATGACATTACGTATAAAATGAATGAATAAATGAACAGAATGAACGAAAGAAATGGAAAGGTTTTGATTCCTAACCTGTAGCCACGTTTCAGTAACATATACAACATAATCTGTTCCTTACATCTCGTAAAACAGTTTAACGCATTATCTTTATATCAAGAAATCTGGTCTGGGGATAGGATGACCCGCATGACAAAAGCAGTGATGCACACTGATATGTTTATAGTTTTATAGGCCGGATTTGAGGGTCATACTGTGTTTAAGTTGAAACCTGATTGGCAGTTTTGTTAGCTTCTTCGTTTCCAAATATTCCAAAGTGGGCTGAGACCCTGGTGGAATTCCATATCCGTTTTGTGGATTGTGTTGTCACTGACACGTGGTACACCTCTCATCTTCATTATATGTTTTCTCTTGTCATCATTTGTTCACAGAAACACGGCCTAGAGGGATGGCGGATCCTGAACATAAGGATGAGCAGGGCACATCTCCCTCACATCCGCAACAGAAGGACGAAACATCTCACCTACATATCCAGGAAACGGGCGACAATAGATCTTCTCTCGCCCATTCCCCACAGAAAAAGAAAAAATACGAGGACACCTGCCTCCCACATCCCCAGAAGACAGAAGAAGATAAAACGTCTCTGCAACAGACGGACGAGGACACCTCTCACCTACAACCCCAGGAGGTGTACGTAAAGGAAAAGTTCAAATATCAACCCATCGGGATAGAGAAAGGTAATATCTATTGTGCCAAGGTGAACTCCTCAGCAGTTGTAGATAGAGGCGTCATGTACAATGACTCACTCCAGTGTTCACAATGAGCAAATAGAATTGACATGTACATGAATTCACTCCAGTGTTGCCAGTAAGTAGATAACCTTGATATGTACATAGACTTAATCCTATGTTGACAGTGAGTACATAGACTTGACATGTACATTGACTTACTCCACTGTTGACAGTGTGTACATGTACTTGACATGTACATAGACTCACTCTAGTGTTAACAGTGAGTAGATAGAGGCGCCAGGTACACTGACTCACTCCAGTGTTGACATTGAGCAGATAGAGGTGACATGTACATAGACTCACTCCAGTGTTGACAGTGAGAAGATAGATGTGATATTTACATCGAACCACTCCAGTGTTAACAGTGAGTAGATAGAGGTGACATGTACATAGACTCACTCCAGTGTTGACAGTGAGTAGATAGAGGTGACATGTACATAGACCCAGTCCAGTGTTGACAGTGAGTAGATAGAGTTGACATGTACATTGACTCACTCCAGTGTTGACAGTGAGTAGATAGAGGCGACATGTACATTGACTCACTCCAGTGTTGACAGAGAGTAGATAAAGGTGACATGTTAATTGCCTCACTCCAGTGTTGACAGTGAGTAGATAGAGGTGACATGTACATAGACCCAGTCCAGTGTTGACAGTGAGTAGATAGAGATGACATGTACATTGACTCATTCCAGTGTTGACAGTAAGTAGATAGAGGCGACATGTACATTGACTCACTCCAGTGTTGACAGAGAGTAGATAAAGGTGACATGTTAATTGCCTCACTCCAGTGTTGACAGTGAGTAGATAGAGGTGACATGTACATAGACTCACTCCAGTGTTGACAGTAAGTAAATAGAGTTGACATGTACATTGACTCACTCCAGTCTTAACAGTGAGTAGATAGAGTTGACATGTACATTGACTCATTCCAGTTTTGACAGTAAGTAGATAGAGGCGACATGTACATTGACTCACTCCAGTGTTGACAGAGAGTAGATAGAGGTGACATGTTAATTGCCTCACTCCAGTGTTGACAGTGAGTAGATAGAGGTGACATGTACATTGACTCACTCAAGTGTTGACAGTCAGCAGATAGAGGTGACATGTACATTGACTCATTCCAGTGTTGGCAGTAAGCAGATTGAGGTGACATGTACATAGACTCACTCCAGTGTAGACAGTTAGCAGAAAGAGGTGACATGTACATAGACTTACTCCAGTGTTGACAGTGAGTAGATAGGGGTGACATGTACATACACTCACTCCAGTGTTGACAGTGAGTAGATAGAGGTGACATGTACATTGACTCACTCCACTGTTGACAGTGTGTAGATAGTGTTCACATGTACATTTACTCACTCCAGTGTTGACAGTGAGTAGATAGAGGTGACATGTACATAGACTCACTCCAGTGTTGACAGTGAGTAGATAGAAGTGACATGTACGTAGACCCAGTCCAGTGTTGACAGTGAGTAGATAGAGTTGACATGTACATTGACTCATTCCAGTGTTGACAGTAAGTAGATAGAGGCGATATGTACATTGGCTCACTCCAGTGTTGACAGAGAGTAGATAAAGGTGACATGTTAATTGCCTCACTCCAGTGTTGACAGTGAGTAGATAGAGGTGACATGTACATAGACTCACTCCAGTGTTGACAGTAAGTAAATAGAGTTGACATGTACATTGACTCACTCCAGTCTTAACAGTGAGTAGATAGAGTTGACATGTACATTGACTCATTCCAGTTTTGACAGTAAGTAGATAGAGGCGACATGTACATTGACTCACTCCAGTGTTGACAGAGAGTAGATAGAGGTGACATGTTAATTGCCTCACTCCAGTGTTGACAGTGAGTAGATAGAGGTGACATGTACATTGACTCACTCAAGTGTTGACAGTCAGCAGATAGAGGTGACATGTACATTGACTCATTCCAGTGTTGGCAGTAAGCAGATTGAGGTGACATGTACATTGACTCACTCCAGTGTAGACAGTGAGCAGAAAGAGGTGACATGTACATAGACTTACTCCAGTGTTGACAGTGAGTAGATAGGGGTGACATGTACATACACTCACTCCAGTGTTGACAGTGAGTAGATAGAGGTGACATGTACATTGACTCACTCCACTGTTGACAGTGTGTAGATAGTGTTCACATGTACATTTACTCACTCCAGTGTTGACAGTGAGTAGATAGAGGTGACATGTACATAGACTCATTCCAGTGTTGACAGTGAGTAGATAGAGGTGACATGTACTTTGACTCACTCCAGTGTCGACAGTGAGCAGTTAGGGGCGAAATGTGCATAGACTCACTCCAGTGTTAACAGTAAATAGATAGAGGTGACATGTATATTGACTCACTCCAGTGTTAACAGTAAGTAGATAGAGGTAACATGTACATTGACTTACTCCAGAGTTGACAGTGTGTAGATAGAGTTGACATGTACATTGACTCACTCTAGTGTTGACAGTGAGTAGATAGAGGTGACATATACATTAACTCACTCCAGTGTTGACAGTGAGTAGATAGAGGTGACATGTACGTAGACCCAGTCCAGTGTTGACAGTGAGTAGATAGAGTTGACATGTACATTAACTCATTCCAGTGTTGACAGTAAGTAGATAGAGGCGACATGTACATTGACTCACTCCAGTGTTGACAGAGAGTAGATAAAGGTGACATGTTAATTACCTCACTCCAGTGTTGACAGTGAGTAGATAGAGGTGACATGTACATTGACTCACTCCACTGTTGACAGTGTGTAGATAGTGTTCACATGTACATTTACTCACTCCAGTGTTGACAGTGAGTAGATAGAGGCGACATGTACATCGACTCAATCATCTGTTGACAGTGTAGATAGAGGTGACATGTACATTGACTCACTCCACTGTTGACAGTAAGTAGATAGAGTTGACATGTACATTGACTCACTCCAGTGTGGACAGAGAGTAGATAAAGGTGACATGTTAATTACCTCACTCCAGTGTTGACAGTGAGTAGATAGAGGTGACATGTACATAGACTCACTCCAGTGTTGACAGTAAGTAAATAGAGTTGACATGTACATTGACTCACTACAGTCTTAACAGTGAGTAGATAGAGTTGACTTGTACATTGACTCATTCCAGTTTTGACAGTAAGTAGATAGAGGCGACATGTACATTGACTCACTCCAGTGTTGACAGAGAGTAGATAGAGGTGACATGTTAATTGCCTCACTCCAGTGTTGACAGTGAGTAGATAGAGGTGACATGTACATTGACTCACTCAAGTGTTGACAGTCAGCAGATAGAGGTGACATGTACATTGACTCATTCCAGTGTTGGCAGTAAGCAGATTGAGGTGACATGTACATAGACTCACTCCAGTGTAGACAGTGAGCAGAAAGAGGTGACATGTACATAGACTTACTCCAGTGTTGACAGTGAGTAGATAGGGGTGACATGTACATACACTCACTCCAGTGTTGACAGTGAGTAGATAGAGGTGACATGTACATTGACTCACTCCACTGTTGACAGTGTGTAGATAGTGTTCACATGTACATTTACTCACTCCAGTGTTGACAGTGAGTAGATAGAGGTGACATGTACATAGACTCACTGCAGTGTTGACAGAGAGTAGATAAAGGTGACATGTTAATTACCTCACTCCAGTGTTGACAGTGAGTAGATAGAGGTGACATGTACATAGACTCACTCCAGTGTTGACAGTAAGTAAATAGAGTTGACATGTACATTGACTCACTCCAGTGTTAACAGTGAGTAGATAGAGCTGACATGTACATAGACTCACTCCAGTGTTGACAGTGAGTAGATAGAGGTGACATGTACATTGACTCACACCAGTGTTGACAGTGAGTAGATAGAGGTGACATGTACATAGACTCACTCCAGTGTTGACAGTAAGTAAATAGAGTTGACATGTACATTGACTCACTCCAGTGTTAACAGTGAGTAGTGGAGCTGACGTGTACATAGACTCACTCCAGTGTTGACAGTGAGTAGATAGAGGTGACATGTACATTTACTCACTCCAGTGTTGACAGTGAGTGGATAGAGGTGACATGTACATAGACTCACTCCAGTGTTGACAGTAAGTAAATAGAGTTGACATGTACATTGACTCACTCCAGTGTTGCCAGTGAGCAGACAAAGGTGACATGTACATTGACTCACACCAGTGTTGACAGTGAGTAGATAGAGGTGACATGTACTTTGACTCACTCCAGTGTCGACAGTGAGCAGTTAGGGGCGAAATGTGCATAGACTCACTCCAGTGTTAACAGTAAATAGATAGAGGTGACATGTATATTGACTCACTCCAGTGTTAACAGTAAGTAGATAGAGGTAACATGTACATTGACTTACTCCAGAGTTGACAGTGTGTAGATAGAGTTGACATGTACATTGACTCACTCTAGTGTTGACAGTGAGTAGATAGAGGTGACATATACATTAACTCACTCCAGTGTTGACAGTGAGTAGATAGAGGTGACATGTACGTAGACCCAGTCCAGTGTTGACAGTGAGTAGATAGAGTTGACATGTACATTAACTCATTCCAGTGTTGACAGTAAGTAGATAGAGGCGACATGTACATTGACTCACTCCAGTGTTGACAGAGAGTAGATAAAGGTGACATGTTAATTACCTCACTCCAGTGTTGACAGTGAGTAGATAGAGGTGACATGTACATTGACTCACTCCACTGTTGACAGTGTGTAGATAGTGTTCACATGTACATTTACTCACTCCAGTGTTGACAGTGAGTAGATAGAGGCGACATGTACATTGACTCACTCCACTGTTGACAGTAAGTAGATAGAGTTGACATGTACATTGACTCACTCCAGTGTGGACAGAGAGTAGATAAAGGTGACATGTTAATTACCTCACTCCAGTGTTGACAGTGAGTAGATAGAGGTGACATGTAC